GTACCGAGACGTGCGCCTGTGGGTGATCCCTGTCTCCTCCAACAACTTCTTGAACTCCCCTTGGAACTCTGTTCCCTGGTCCGTGAGGACCTCTGCACATGCCCCGAATCTGCATATCACCTGCTCTTTGAACGCTGCTGCCACATGCCTCGAGCTCTTGCTCGGGATAGCCCTCACCTCTAGCCATTTGCTCACGTGCTCCACTATGAGCACAATATACTGCTTACCCCCCCGGCTTAGTGGCAACTCCCCCGCCAGATCCAAGGACCATCTGAACCCTAGGCCTCGGATGGGCAGGGACTGCAACTCAGCCTTGGCTTGGGTGAGGTTTTCCCTGCTCCTTTGGCATGCCTCACAACCTTCCACCCACCCCTTTACTTGCTTCCGCATCCCTTCCCACCACCATCCTGTTTTCAGCAGCTGCACCGTCCTCTCGTGCCCAAAGTGTCCCAACTTTGTGTGTACCTCCTTGATCACTGCTTCCCTCTCGCTTGGCACCGGCACCAGCTTCCATCTGTCCTCTGTCTGCACCTGCAACTGCTGCTGGTACCATCTGTAGTGCTGTCCCCTTGCCCTCACTCGCGCTGTCAGCTCCTCGTCCTCTCCTGTCTCTCCCTTCACCCACCGCATGGCTGCTTCATCCTCCCAAATATCTGCTGGCCCCTTCTGTCCTTTGGCCCCATTCAGCTCCACCAGCCTTGCCAGCAGTGTCAGGGTCATAGTGGGCTTTGGCAGTGGGGGATTCCGAGAGAGACCGTCCACATGCTGCAATGTCTTTCCCGGCCTGTGCTTGATTTTGAAGTCATACTCCTGCAGCTTCATTGCCCACCGTGCATTCCTGCCTGTCAACCCCGGTGTTGTCATCAGCCACGTCAGGGGCTGGTGATCCGTCACCAAGGTGAACTCCCTCCCCTGCAGGTACACCCTGAAGTGCCCTACAGCCCATACAGCTGCCAATCCTTCCCCTATGTAAGAGCTGTACTGTGCCTCCGCCGAGTTACAGCTCCTGCTCGCATATGCCACCACCTTCTCCTCTCCTTCCACCTCTTGGCAGAGTATCCCTCCCATCCCTTGGCTGCTCCAGTCGGTGTAGAGCGTGAACGGGTGATCGGCGGCGGGCAGCTTGAGCACTGTTGCTGTCTTGACTGCTGTCATTAAGTCCTGCAATGCCCCCTTCTGTGCTTCTCCCCACTCCCACGCCTTGTCTTCCCGTAGTAGCCCATTCAGTACCGCCGCTCTCTTGCTGAAATTAGGCACAAACCGCCTATAGTAGCTCAGGAAGCCCAGCACCGCTCTCAGTCCTGACTTGTCCTTGGGCTCCCTCAGCCTATCCAGGACCTCCACCTTGGCCTGTTGTATCCCTATCTGCCCCCCTTTCACCTCATAACCCAGGTATTGCACAGTCTGTTCCCCCCATCTGCATTTCTTCGGGTGGCATGTGAGTCTCGCCGCTTCTATTGCTGTCAGGGTCCTCTCCACATCCTGCAGGTGCTGCTGCTCTGTCGTGCTGAAGATCACCACATCATCAATGTAACAGGCCGCGCACTCCACGCCCCTCAGCACGCTGTCCATGACCCTCTGGAACACCGCTGAGGCGTTCCTCAACCCAAATGGCATGTACAACCATTCATACAGCCCGTCCGGCCCATGAAAGGCCGTCTTCTTGATGTCCTCCTCTCTGATCTTGATCTGGTTGAACCCTTGCCGCACGTCCAGCGTCGTGAAGAACACCCCCTCTGCTAGCTTGTCGAAGATCTCTTCCGCCATTGGCATTGGGTATCTGTCCGCTATGGTGATCTTGTTGAGTGCCCTGTAGTCCCCACACATCCTCCCGCTCAGCACCTCCCCTGTCAGGTCCCGCCTGGCTGCCACCACCGTAGGTGTGGCGTACTCTGATTCTGACCTCCTAATCAGTCCCGCTTCCAGCAGCTCCTTGATCTAATTCTTACAGATTTCTTCGTCCCCGTGTGGCATCTTCCTCCTGCGGTGAAACACTGGTTCCATGCTGCTCAGCTTCAGCTCCATCTCCTTCACCTTGCACCTCCCCAGTTCCTGCAGGCTGAAGGCGAAGCACTTACTGTGCCTGGCCAACAGCTCCTGCATGGCCTCCTTCCCTTTTTCGCTCATCGCTTCTCCCACCTCCCATTTTTCCTCCTCCTTCTTTTGGCAGCTCCAAGCTCCCCGGGGCACTGCCTCTATTTCTCCCTTCCCTTCCTCATGCCCCCAGCTCATTACCGTCTCTCGCCACATCCGCTGGATCAGCCACCTCAGCACGTGGCCATCCATCGCATTCCCTAAAGCCCTCCTCCTGTCCGCCTCGCTCGCCCCTGGTGCTGCCGTTGCATCTTCCCCATACCCCATGGCCAGCTCCCGTTCTAGTGCCGTGGGTTCCTCCCATCTCTGTCTCCTGTGATCAAACACCATGCCCGGCCCGGGCTTCCCCGCTTCCCACTTGTATCCCGCCCCTCCCGCGTATGCCACCAGGGTGGGCAGGGCTCGTCTCTCCTGCCCTGCTTGGTTGCAAGGATAGTGCCTGCTGTAGCTCTTGCGGCACACCGGCGCTGGGGTCCGCCCTGGTGCTAGGATGTCCTGCACCTTCTTTTCCCTTGCTCGCTCCACCCCATCCATCTCTTCTTGCAGCTTCACGGCAGGGACCACATTCTGCCAGTACATCCTCAATTGGTGTGCGTAAGACCCGGTTCTGGCCGCATCACAGCTCACCCCTTCCCCCAGCTGCCCCCTGATCCTTTCTCTCACTAATCGGATCGGCTCTCTGCTGTCTCCCTCCAGGTCCAGGTTTTCCAGCAAGTATGTCACCCTGCCGTGCCTCTCCTGCAGCCACTCCATGATGCGGAACAGGTCTTCCATCAACCTTGTCCTGGGATCTTCTCCTCCCCTCCCCTTGCTTGCCCAAGACACCCCTTGGCATTCCCACCCCGCCATCAGCAGATCTACCTGCCCCCAGCTTACCACCTCTGCCTCACTTATCTCCTGCACGTCATGGATGGTTCCTGCCATGGCTTCTCGAACCACCCTCCCACTCAGCAGTTCTGGGAACTCCGCTTGCAGCTTCCATGCATGGTGCTCTGCCATCCTCCTCACTTTTGGCTCCTTCTCCACGTAAGTCCATTTCCTCACTGCGATTCCACTCCTCACCACAGCTGACAGCCCTGCCCCTATCCCTCCAAACAGCTCCACCAGGTGGATGGGCTGCTGCCAATCACTCTGCCGCCTTGGCTCGTCCATCCATCTCATCTTGGGTCCCTCTTCTGCCCCTGCTGTCCCTTTCTGCTCCTCTGCCCGCTGCCCCCTTTGCAGCAGTTCCCCCACGGCCTGGTATGATCTCTTGGGCTCCACTTTCACAAATCGCACCGGCAGCTCTCCCAAAGGCCCCTCCTTCTTCCAGTACCGCGTTCTAAACTCAACCTTCTCAGTCCAGGTACATATGGTCATCCCCACTGCGAACACTAGCTCGGTGCCCACCAATACGTCAAAGTCCTCCGACTATGAAATCCCACACTTCATGCGGATTTTGGTCTCATGTTCCCCCCAACCCCCCCCCCCCGGCAGCAACGTCACTTCTATGGGCGTTCGGGTGCACGGCATCCACTTTGGTTCCCCTCCCTCCGCAGTCATCACCAGCATCCCCTTTTTCACATGCCTCTCTGGTGCTAGCAACCCCAACCGCTCAGCCATCCCCTTTCCCAGCATCACACTCTGTGCTCCCGTGTCTATGATTGCAGTCTTCACCTTCTCCCCCTCCACTTCCATTGCTCCCCTTTCCAACAGTAGCACTGAGGTCTGGCACGTCAGCCTTTCTTGGGGATGGCGTGCTGGGGCTCGTTCCTGGGGCGGCTCGCCTGGCTTGTCTCCCTTCGCTTGCTCCTTCCTTCCCTGCTCCCGCCTGCCATCCTTCCCAGCCCCATTTCTTCTCTTCCTCTCCATGCCATGAGCGCACACTGCACATCTTGCTCCACCTCCTCCTCCTCTTTGTCTCTGGCATACATCCCTGCCTCGGCCTCCCCTCTTAGCCCTGTTGCCCTCAGTTGTGCCTGCAGCCTGCGCTGCAGCTCCTCTGGGTGCCTCCTAGGCCCTCCCTCCCTCTGATAGCAGTCCTTTGCCTCGTGTCCTCGTTTCTTGCAGATCTCACGCCTGGCTGCATCGGGGCATTCCCGCTTCCTGTGCCCCGGCTTCCCACAACCATCACAACTTTTGCAGTCCCTGCGCAGATGCCCTGGCTGCCCACACTTGTAACAGGTCCTGGTGTCAATTCCTATCTCCCCTCGCCCATCTACTCTCCCTCCCCCCTCTGGTATCATTGCCGCTGCCCACGTTGGCCTCCTGATTTTCTCTGCCGGCCTGGGCAGGAAGGCCTCGTACTTCCTCTGTGCGAGCTCCACTCTCTCTGCCAAATCAAACACCTCTTCTAGGCTTGCCTCCGCGCCCAGCTCGTACACTCTCATCCTCAGCCCCCCCCCCCCCCAGAGCCTCGTCTAGGCCTCCTAGGAACTTGCTGATAGGAAGGCTGTTGTCCGTACATTTCACGTCTTCCGCCACGTTAATCAGTCTGTTGTAGTAGGTCAGCAGTGACTCCGCGCGGCCCCTCCTGAAGTCCTGGAATTCCCTTATGCGCTCCGCCGTGTGCCCTGGGAATTGCTGCTGCAGTCGCTCCAGAAATGCCTCAGTGGGTCTTCTCCGTACCTCCCTGCCCTCCTAAGCAGTTCCTCCATCCTCATGCGGTATAGCGTCTCGGCCTCTCCCTCCAATGTGTTGGGCAAGCTCAAGAAAAGTCCACCGGGTCCATATTGTGCCTGTCGCAGCGGTACCGCACATTCCCCACCTGCATCAGGTAATTCTTGAGGGTAGGTCCCGCGCGCTGATCTCCCGAGAACCTGGCGGGCACTTCCACTCACGGGGTACTGGCAGCACCCCCTCGCCCCTCTCCCCATGCTTCAGTTGCTCCTCTTGGCCGACTTCTCTCCGCTCCTCTCGCCCTTTGCATGCCTTCTCTGGCCTCCCGTGCCCGTTCCGCGCAGTACACCAAGCTTCCGCCCTCCGCTCTGCTCTCTTGGCGACTCCCTTCCATCTCGCGACGCCTTTCCCTCAGCCCGCCCGTCCCCACTGCTGCGTCGGCGGATCGTGCATCCTCTGCCCTTCCCACTTGCTGGTTTCGCACTGTCGCTGCCTCTCTGGCGACGGTGACCAGGTGCCTTCCCTCCTGTTGCGCTGCTGGCGGCGCTCTGGCAAGTGCCGTTCCCTTACGTACTTCTCCCTCCGCTGGCGGCGCCAGACGGGCGAGCGGGACCCGCTGCTGTCCCTCTTCTCTCTCTGCCTTGGCCGTACCGGCGAGCGCCCCACGCTGCTGCGTTCCCCGTGCTGCTGACCGCGGCGCTCCTGCGACCAAAGCTCCTCTCCGTGCCTTCCTTCTGGGCGCCCGTGCGGCTCAGATGAGCGCGGCTCATCCTTCCATCTGCCGCCGTGCGCCTACCTCTGCTCCGGCAAACGCATGCCGCCGCCGCTCCAGCCTCCCTGCTCCTGACGCCTATCATACGGGCGGAAGTCGCCTACGCACCATTCTTCGTGGTGCTGATCCTTGCCCGGCGTGCGCGACCGCTCCGCCTTCCCTTTGCCAAGCTGCCTTCGCGCCAGTGTGTCTCGAACGCCCTTGTCTGGTGTCACTCGCTCCTGGCGAAGTGAGCCCTCCGCGCGCTGCTCTCCCCCACGGCTGACGTCTCGACCGTGAGATTCCCGCAGCGCGGCCCTCGGTTCCTCGGCTGCCGCCTGGCTTGCGCCCGCGTCCTCGCCTGCCTACGCGAGCTCAGCCTCACCCGTCCTCGCTGTCTGATCGTTGTCGACATCTCCTTCATCGGCCTCCTCGACCTGCAGCTCTTGGTTCTCCTCATCCTCTTCCGCGCCTTGCTCCCTTGTCACTTTCTGTGCCGCGTTTTCCTGCGAGACCCCCTTTCGGTCATCGCCGCCAATGTCTCCTCCCCGCCCCCGGGGAAGTTCCCCGAAACCACGCCAACGACCTCTCTCGGCATGGCGCCGTTCTCGATCTTCTGGAGAGCGGAACACTCCTGCGTCGCGACGGTTTCCGCGATCCTCGTCAGTTCCGCGTGCTCTCTCTCGCAGCCACGCGTCTCTATCCGCGCCTCCGACATGCCCGGCGTCACCTGCTCCCCCGCCCGTCGATCCTTCTTCTCGACGGTCCCTTTCAAGGGGGATTCGATCCGCGCGGAAGGCCGGCCGGCGTGGCGATCGCTCCAAGGATCGCCCTCGTTCACGTGACGGCTCGCGTCGCGGCCGTTCCTCTTCCCGTCGGCTGAACATCCTACCCCAGCGCAATTCGTACTTATCCATATCCAACCCTTCGATGCCTTTCTCGTTGTTATGAAAGTGTTTGGTCCCTCACCCCGTAGGTTCCCTCTTAGTGACGTGCCTCAGTGTGTTAGAGCGAAGATAGCAACTTTCACTAGTTCGAGAGAATAACAACGAGAAAGCATCGAGGGGTTGGAGGTGAGTGACCTTACCCAACCCCAGGCTGCACATTTCCAAATGTGCGGCTCGGGGTTGGGGTTGATTGGTTTCACATTTCGCCCTTCGGTGTCTTTCCCCCTTCTTATCTCAACCGCTCTTATCCCGTTTCCCCCCTTCTACACCCCTTCCTAACAGTTACCTTGCTACAATCTACACCTTCCGCCTATTTCTGTTCTATGCTATTATAACTATCTAATCTTCCTATTGCTGCAACCTAGGGCCCTGCCTATACCATCACCCTACTGTTATTGCATGTGCATTATGTGCATATGCGGTGACAAGAGCCACCGTTTCTCTTAGCTACTGGACAGCTACCACGTTCAGTCACATCTCTCCCTCACTCTTTTCATTCCCTAATCCAACAGCAGCAGATTTCATCTCTTCTCATCACCGCATTCTTCAACTTGCCCGAAGGAAGATTCAGCTTGCACAAGAGCGCCAAGTTCGCTATGCCAACCAGCATAGGCGTCACACCACTTTCAGAGTTGGTGATTTGGTGTTGCTTTCAACTGCTAACCTGCCTCTGCTGAATGCTGGAACTTCTTGCAAGCTCGCTCCCAGATTCGTTGGACCATTCCCCATCACCAAAGTTCTCTCACCGGTCAGCTACCGCCTTCAACTCCCTCCTCACATGACCATACACCATGTTTTCCATGTTCACCTTCTTCGTCCTTACCGTACTCCCTCTCACCCATTCCAGCCCCGCCCACCCATGTTCTCTGCCCATCCGGACCTGCATGAGGTCGACACCATCCTCTCACACCGTGACAATCCGGTTGGCCGTGAATATCTCATTCACTGGCGCAACACCTCAGCATCTGAAGACTCATGGGAGCCGTTCTCCAACCTCAGCCATGCTCCTCGTGCCATTGGTGTCTATCTTGCCTCATTGGCACCGAGGACGGTGCCTTCAGGGAGGGGAGGTAATGTAACAAGGGGCACCTGCGCGGGAGCCAGCGTGAAGCGCACGGGAGGCAGCAACATGCAGCAGCCGTGTGCAAGGGTGAACGTGGGCAGCGCAGGGGAGAACGTGGGCAGGACGTAGGGGACCCACGTGAGAAGGGCGAAACATCGGTTTCGTGCCTTGGTTGACTTGGGTGAAGTGCAGCGTGGGACAGGTGGCGAAAGTGTAGCATCGAAGGGTTAGAAATCAGACACGTGTGTAATTGTTGTGAGCTGTACAAATGTGAATAAGAATAGGAATGCGGCTCGATGTCGGGGCTGGCCACCCGAATCGACATTCCGAGCCGCATGTCTGAATTGTAAATGTTGAACATACATAAAATGCATTCGTAGGATAGAGAGAGTAGTTTTCTGGTTTCTCTTTCTGTTTGTTCTTCCTTGCTTCTAAGGAAATTCTCTTGGGAAGAATTCTCAGCCATAACAACTTGAACAAGCCCAAGTGCCGTGAGCTTGTTCCAGTGTCTCGTGAATCCTGATCTGCTCGAGTGTGCTCAATTTGATGACACACACACGCTCACACAAATACACACTCTATTTGAGACACGTGCTCGAGTGAGCCAGCTGGTCATGGAGTATGTCGTCAAACAAGGGTTACCGGGATTTGATGTGCGCATGGGTTCGACTTTTGCACCGAACCGAAAGTCCCTCAATGGTTTTGTGTTACCACATGCAAAATCTGCGTGCAGTATGCGTCGTCAATTGAGCTGAGTTACTAGGCCTCGAATTTCGAATGGGTGCTACGTTTGTTTGCGCATCGCACTTTGGTTTCTCTACCATTGGCCATGCTGCCAGCAACGAACAATAATCGTTGCGAGGCTCCAATAATCGTTGAGCCTCTCGCCTCACCTCCGAATGCTTCTGATGAAACCCCGAGATTGACGGAACCGAACGATGCTGATCATTGGCCCAATTGTCTTCAACTCGGCCCAACGGAGCCTGCTACCCCCGGGCAATAAAAAATAACCCTCCTGCTAAAAGGTATCCAGTCAGAATGGTATTAACCCTAAACACCTTGTCGCATGATGTTTAGAATTGATGCCATCCGAGGGGGGTTTTAATTTTCTTCCGTACGAGGTCAGCAGATCCACGGTCGACGGAGGGTTAATGGTGCCGTCAACCATAATCTGTTGAGTTATTCCCAGTCTGCATCCTTTTTCCCAATAGGGGTTTTTTTGTTATCTTTACGCAATTCGCGTTTGATACAAATTTTAATGGGTTGAGTATTCAATGTTTTTTTGTCTATTCTTAGGTAGCACCTCGACACAATAGTGTATATTTGAGTTCGGTAATTGCGTTCTGTTTCTGTCTCGTTTCGGGGGTGTTATTAGCGTGAAAAGTTTGATTGAAAAGCGAGCACCAATCGGCGATAAGAAATCGAGGTTGAGTACCGATGCAAAACGTCTCTGGCATAATTTGAGTATCAAAGAAGTTGGCCGATCAAGAAGTGAACTGGTTGGTTTGGGTATATTCGTGAGTACGTACTTTTGGACACCTGCCCTTTGGTATACTTATGCTTGCCGAACCATGGCGCCTCATCCTGAATTCCATCCTACATAGCTTTTCGGCTCCTCCTAGCCTATCAAAATCGTGTTATTCGAAGCTTATGGATCTTCATAATCGTGTTATTTTCGCTGTTCCTCGTATCCTATGCCCTATGCTCAAGCCGCTTGTTGGGTTGCGTAGCAACCTTATACAATTGGTTTCACTTTTCGGGGAACTGACGTGAACAGTGACTTTCCCCCATCAAACTTGGAAGAAACCATTGTTCACGTAAGTTCCACAAAATGTGAAATCAAATGAATTCAATCATTCCATAATCGTCGATAAGTACGGCGAATGGAACAATTGAACGGCCACTCCGCACAAATGACAACACCCAAAAACACACCAACACACACTAAGGACCACATTTCTATCACTAAAAAACATGTACCTATACAGATATGATCACACAAACGTACAAAAAAAACGCATTTGGAAGTCGTACCGAGGCGAATACTAAATGCGTCAATGCTGCAACTGAGATTGATATGGTACGGAAGAGGCGAGCATAGCTGCCCCACTGACGATCACAACCACAGTTGCAAGCATGAAGCAATTAGCACCACACCTCTAGACAGGCACAAACTATAGCATGAGAACTAAGACAAACGGATGACAACAATTGCGAAAGCTCCGAAGCGCATATCAAATGCATCAATGCTGCAATTTAGATTGATATGGTACGGAAGAGGCGAGCAAAACTGCTGCCCCACCAACGATCACAACCCCAGTTGCATTCACGAGGCACTTAGCACCACACTTCGAAGCAGACACAAACAACACTGGCACAGGTATACACATGTACATACACACACACGCACACACTCTCTCTCTCTCTCTCATACACACACACACACACATACAGGCTCACATACACATTCACACACACACACAAACAAATGCACAAACATACAGCTAATAAGCATGCAGCGAATAGAATGAAGTTTAGCCATGTATATATTATCGCTAGTCTGTCCCCCATTCCCCTCCCTCCCTCATCTCCCTTCCCCGCTCCCTTTTCTCTGCAAGAAACAATGGATGCAGCTTGAACTCCCTGCACAAGAAAGAAGAAACAACGAATGTAACTCACTCCCTGCAAAAACAATAACAAAAGCAAAGTACAACTTGCATGAGTTGCACAAGAAAACAAAATCAGGGAATGCAGCTCACAAGATTGCACAAGCAAATGTAGCGCTATAGACATTGTTGATGAATAACCCTCACACTTATGCCACACTCACTCTCGCACTCACTTTCCCAACCGCTCACGCACACACTCAACTCTTCCTTTACAAACTCATAGAAACACACACTCAAACCCTAGCACTCACCCTTGCACTCGTGGTTGCACTCACTCTCACACTCACACAGAAAATAACACATGCACACGCACACACAATCGCATGAACCCTCACACGCACCCTCAAACTCCCCCTTGCACTCGTCCTCGCACTCACCCTCACATTCACTCTCGCACTCAACCTCACACCCACCCTCACATTCACTTTAGCACTCACCCTCACACCCACCCTCACACTACCTTAAGTCCTCACGCACGCATTCACGCTTGCAATTATACTTGCACTCACCTTCGCACTACCATTGCAATCGCACCTGCACCATCACACTCAACCTCACACTCACACATACACTCGCACTCACCCTTGAACTCGCCCTCTGAACAACCTCACACTCACCCTTGCATTAACCCTCCCGCTCACGTTCGCACTCAAGCTCGCATTCAAGCTCACACTCACCCTTGCACGCACACTCGCACTCACACTCACACTCACCAACACCTGGATTCAAACCCGCACTCACCCTCTTGCACACGCCCGCACTCTTGCCGCAACTCAACGACACTCAAATACGTCGAACAGCTCTTAGACACACTCACTGAAAACACACACAAACCCTCGCACTCACCCTCGGGCTCGCGCTCACTCGAACACCCCCACACACACATGCACACACAGTCACGTGCACCCTCAAACTGAAGGCGCACTCGCTCACACCCGCACTCACGCTCACAGTTCCCCTCGCACTCACACCCACACTCATGCTTGCACTTGCCCTTGCACTCACAAACGAACTCACGCTCGCATTCGCCCTCGCCATCACACCCGCACTCACGTTCGCATTCGCCCTCGCACTCACATTCACGCTCACTCTCCCACTTGCTCTCGCACATGACATCGCACGCACCTTCGCACTCACCCCCGCCTCACTCTCGCACTGACACCCTCAATCATACCCGCGATTGTTCTCACCCCTGCACTTGCTCTCGCACTCGCTCTTCACCTACAACTCTTCTTCGACAGTCACAGAAAACACACACAAACACGTGCACTCATCGTGGTACTCAACATAGCACACAAACTCGAATGCATTTTCTCACCCCCTTTTGCAGTCACACCCGCACCCTTGCACTCAACCTCGCATTCACACACATACTCACTTTCCAACTCGCCGTCACCCTCACACTCACTCTCAACCGCGCTCACCTTCAAGTGCATGCGCGCATCTCACTCTCGAAGTCACACCCGCACTCGCACCAAGATTCACACCCGCACCCACCCTCTCGCACACTCTCGCACTCACTCTTGCCGCCACTCACACACACACACACACCCTAAGCGCAAGCGCCCACGGTGCCAGCGCCCCAAGCACAAGCGGCTTAGGCGCAAGCGACCATGGCGCAAGCGCGCACGGCGCTCTCTCTCCCGCCTCTCCCTCCCACAAGCTCTTGGTGCTCCCTCGCCCCCCCTCTCTCCTCCTCTTTAAAAAATAATGCAACGCAAGGAGATCGATCGACAAACAGAAGCTACAAAAAATGTAAGAAAGTAAGCGAATTTCAGAGGGGGAAAGGAGGAGAAAAATACCGGGAGGTAAGCGCACCTCAGAATCACGGCACCTAAGAAACCATCTCGCGCTCGCCCGCCAGCTCGCGCTCGTGCAGCTGTCGTCAGCGGCGACGGCGAGATGAGAGGGGGAGGCGACGGCGGGATGCGAAGGGGGAGGCGACGGCGGGATGCGAAGGGGGAGGCGAGGCGGGATATGGGGGGGAGGCAACGGCGGGATGTAAGGGGGAGGCGACGGCGGGATGTGAAGGGGAGGCGACGACGGGATGTGAGGGGGAGGCGACGGCGGGATGTGAGGGCATCGCGAAAATCCTTGTGGGCCCTAAATGTACACGGTAGCTTTTCTTGCGGAAAAGCTGCGAAAAACCTTCGGATAAATACCCAGTGTGAAAGTTGCGAGAATGTCACCTGTATGACGCAACAAACAAGCGACGGAAATGTCGCTTGCGCCCCTCAAATGTCCACAGCCACTTCGTGTCCCGCGTGGTAAAGAGCATTACAGTGCGGTTAAGGGATTTCAGGTTAGCGAAACAATCGCACAGCCGACGAAATGTTACCTGTGTGATCGAAATTTCTCAAACCTGGAATTGAAACCTCCAATTCACAAGCAGCGCGAATGTTTCACACCAACGAGAATTCCGAATTTGATGGTAACGTCGCCAACCACTAACTGCCAAACCTAAGCCCACCAATCACCATGATTCCTTATCTCCACGTCAGCTCCTAACCTCTCGAATATTCTCCCAACCCACCCTCCTTCTACCTCCTTCTCCCTCCCAGTCTTTCGATCAATTTATTGTAGCATCGTGGCTCATTTTCTCCTTCCTGTTCACATCAATCTCCAACCCAATCCAGATCTACCTCTCGACCGTCATCCATTATTCCTAGTCGCGCTGCTCTTCATGCCATCAACCTTTTCTGCCTAGTCCAGATCCGTATTCCTTTCCTATATTATTCTTGTTTTCTCCTAAAGTCTTCTTGCATCGTTTTTCTTTTTTCTCTTTGCTGTGCCAATGTCCAGGTTGAAGTCACGATTCAACTGGAGATCCGGAGCCGCTTTACAACCGTACAGCGGGTGTTCGACGTCACTGAAACGGCCTTTTTTTCGGTACGTTGCCATCTTGTTGCTCTTTTATTTTTGTTCCGCGCGGCCATTTCGCACGTGTCTTAAAAATGTGATGCTCCTGCCTAACTCATGAAGACGTGCTTACAGTGCTGTGCACGGAATGGAGGGCAACGGTGGGAGCGCGTTCTGTCTTGGTCGGTTTACGTCGTGCAGATGTGTAGTTTCTTAACGGTGCGCTCCTCATCGCGCGACCTACTATTTATATTGGCGTATTTTGTAAACGTGTTAAGTTCTCAAACGGCACGAGTATTCGTGCTGCTGACAGGTGAGTGGCCGTATGTATGTTTACTACTAGATTCCCACTTGTCTGGCTAACATCAGTTTTTGCAGGTACCATGGTTAAGAGGGAAAGAGCTACCCTCCCTATGTTGCGATTTGAATTTCAGGCTTATGAGGCTCAAAATAACTATGCCGCCATTGTTCGAATTTTCCCTCGCGATTTTGTTGAATGGCAGCACAGTTTCTGTGATGGGCAACTGCATTTACGATGTTGAAGTGTCAAGATACTAGCACAAGTGGTAGTTAGGTTTAGGGCCTAGGCTTAGTAGCCTAGGCCAAGGGGGAGTCGAATTGATTTGTGCCAAGAGAGGAAGTCGAGAATGGGAATGGTGTTCACTATAGCAAGAGGGTACATATAGCAAACAAGTGAAGAAAGAGGTGCACCACCTATAAAGTTAATATCTACACTACAGCTAGAACTACATGCAGGTATAAGAATATAATTCTGACATCCCCCCGTAACTGCATGCAGGAATAGCTAAGTGCAGAACACAACCTGCAGGGGTACACCACAGACTGAGAAAACAGCAACAGCAGGCAAGGCAACAGAGCAGGTACAGCAGCAAAGGGGCAGGCGACAGCAAGACACTCCTGCCACCCCCTTACTCTCCTCCCCCCCCCGACCACAGGAGGGGCGGCAGGGAGAGAGAGGAGGCGGGCTGGCGCTGGCTGGTCACCCCTTCCATCCCCTCACCCTCCCCCTCCCCCTCCCCCCCACACTGCTGCAGGAGCAGCAGAGGGGGGAAGAGAGGAGAGGTGGAGAGATGGCTGCTGGTTGGTCTCACACCCGCCACCCCAGTGCCACTCCCCCGGCTCCCCCACACCCTCACACCCTCCCCCCCCAGCGGCAGCTGCAGCAGTGGGAACGAAAGGAGGAGGAGGGGAAGGGAAGCACACCACCCATCACCCCCACACCCGCCACCCCCATACCCTCCCCCCCACGGCTGCAGGGAGACGAAGGAGGAGGGGGGGGGCGGGGAGAAAGCCGCAGAGCGGCTACAGAGGGTCGGCGCGGGTAGGGCAGGGGCGGCTGCAACGAGTGCAGGCGCGGGGTGAGGCAGAGGCGGCTGCACCGAGTGCAGGAGCGGGGGCGGCTGCTCCAAGGGCAGGCGCTGGGTGGTGCAGGGGCGGCTGCACCGAGTGCAGGCGCGGGTGAGGCAGGGGCACCGTCGCGGGCGCCAGGGGCGGGTCCGCGGCGGCTCAGGGCACCGTCGCGGGCGCCAGGGGCGGGTCCGCGGCGGCGCAGGGCACCGTCGCGGGCGCCAGGGGCGGGTCCGCGGCGGCTCAGGGCACCGTCGCGGGCGCCAGGGGCGGGTCCGCGGCGGTTCTGGGCACCGTCGCGGGCGCCAGGGGCGGGTCCGCGGCGGCTCAGGGCACCGTCGCGCACCACGGGGCACGCGACGGGCAGTTCAGGGCACCGTCGCGTGCCACGGGGCGCACGACGGGCAGGGCACCGTCGCGTGCCACGGGGCGCACGACGGGCAGGGCACCGTCGCGTGCCACGGGGCGCGCGACGGGCAGAAAAGATGTCACGCGCCACTCAGGCGCGGGACAGAACGAAAATCGCCACGCGCCCGAGGCGCGTGACCGGAAAAACAGCAGCGGAAGCGTGAGGCGGGCCCACAGGCCAGGACTTAACAGTCTCTAATACCATGTCAAGATACTAGCACAAGTGGTAGTTAGGTTTAGGGCCTAGGCTTAGTAGCCTAGGCCAAGGGGGAGTCGAGTTGATTTGTGCCAAGAGAGGAAGTCGAGAATGGGAATGGTGTTCACTATAGCAAGAGGGTACATATAGCAAACAACTGAAGAAAGAGGTGCACCACCTATAAAGTTAATATCTACACTACAGCTAGAACTACATGCAGGTATAAGAATATAATTCTGACATGAAGCTGCGATAAGCCAATTGTTACTGCAGTTCTGTTGCAACACCATATAGTTAGGTACTGCATTTTATACATGTTAAGAAATTAGGTTAGTGCTTGAGTAGGGTCTGATGTACTAGAACACATGTTTATAACAATCTAATTTTTGTAAATGTACATGCTTAGCTCATAAAACTCCACTGATTTTATTGGATGCCTCCCAAAATCTGACTGGTCCACGTGGCCTTTTTACGCCCACTGTTCACCTTGACAGCTGGCAGGCAATATCTTCATACGTGGCGTTCAGGCGTCCACGTGGCGAAGGGGTGCCAACGGCGACTTAAAGCCCAAGATCTTCAGATATATGTCACTTCTGATGTCACCTGTTCGATGTGTTGCAAGTAGCGATATGGCCGTTTTTTGGAAGCTTTGTCGTTACTTTTCCGCAACTTCGAAGTCACCCCGCCACAGAAGCCTTTGACCTAGACTTTTTTTCTCCGAAACCAAAGTTGCGGAAAAGCAACTTTGAAGTTGCTGGTCCGCAACTTTTCGGGCCTCACACTTTCGCGATGGGGGAGGCGACGGCGGAATGTGAGGGGGAGGCGACGGCGGGATGCGAGGGGGAGGAGACGGCGGGATGTGAAGGAGAGGCGGTGGCGGGTAAGAGGGAGAGCCGACGGCGGGATGGCAGGAAAAGGCGAACAGCTGGGTGAGAGGGAGAGCTTATGGCGAGGTGGGTGGGAGAGGCGACGAGAGACGAGGGGCGAGGTGGTAGGGGGAAGGGTTTGTTGAGTTGGGGTGGGAGACGAAGGGATTGGGGAAGTTGCAAAAAAGTGGGAGAGCATACGTACAGTACAACTTGGGTTGGCAAAGTGTGGTTTCTTGAAGTGGTTCGGTTCTTGGGTCTGTTTTGCAACTGTTCGATGAAAACAAGCGACGGGAAATCGAGGCATGAGCATTATACATCGAAACACAAACAAATATGGGGCGAACTGCAAAAAAATAAAAACGACACACACAAATTCTTTTTGGATACTAGTATCACGTGAGACACACACGTAATGACGTGACACATCCAACGAAGTGCGTCAACTTCAAAGCAACACATCATGGTACACCCGCTAGAGCAACAACCTGACACTATATTATACTGATAGGTTGCCTATAGACATTACTGCTAAAAGCAGCAATTATAATTGATATTCAATAATGGTTACACAATATCTAACATCACAAGACAAAGACACATTAGAAGAAAAATATGACGTAATATTACGAAATAAGACTGTCGTTTTTTAATAAATGGGAATGTCTTGGGTATTATGGCTTGAAATAAATGCAAATTGACAAAGAATGATTAATACTATGAACTTAGCTAACTACGCAACCCTTCCGACGATATCGTAGAGTCTTGTTTTTTCCGTAGTGGTCAACACTGTTCGTACAGCGCGACCCTCCTATCCTTCTAGCCGCCTACACAGACTTCTATATTTCCCGGTCACGAACTATTGAGTCTGCTCGAATTTCCTATTTCCGCTGTTAGCGTATCCGTGATTTCCCAGATGAGCGCGGATGGCTAAACTGGCAGCATCCTTACCATTCCGAGCACATAAAGAACGGAATAGCGAACGGACTGAAGAGACCTCGCCGAAACCGGCCTCAATCTTCAATCGAAAAGCGAATTTGAGGGTTTGAAACCCGGCAGTAGCTTTAGGAAAACGACTGGAATGACGGAACCCTAGTAGACGGATCATGCGAGTGAAAAGGGTAATTTTGAGTGTTCGGCGATTGACAATGAAGCCACAAATTTTGCAAAATTCGGTCAGCCACGCGATGCTGGCGAGGCCAGCGAAGCTGTGGAAGCACAACAGAAGAAGGATGTGGATGTTACAAGGACATTGATAAGAGAAAGTAGAGGGAGACGAACGGCGGAAGCAGGAAGTGCTGCGGCAGTGGCGAACAGGGCAGGGAGGGAGAGAAAGTGGTGATGGGGCTGACGGGGACTATGGAGGATGCGTTTGGCGCTACCAGCGATGGGCGGTGGGTGTGCCGTTGACACGCAAGATATCGCCAATGTGAGTCGCTGTAGGGTGGGGGCAGGTGGGAAGGTTGATATCGCCAAGGTGGAGGTCGGTGCGGAGTTGCTGCGAGTGGCTGCAGAGCAGGATGGTTGCGACAGTGAGTGGAGGAATGTGATGGGCAGGACAGGTGAGTTGAAAGGTCGTTGAAGGCAAGGTGAAATTCACTTCCCCATACCCCCAGCAACAACCTCCCCTCTCCTCCCAATCCTGATCCCCTCATCCCACCAAACCCAGCCCCCATTCGCATCCCCTCCCATCCCATCCATCCAGCCTCGCATGTGCGATGTCCAATACCTTGTGACTCCCCTACGTTTTGACATACTCACGCCCCTACGGCACTGTATCCCACACCCATCACCCCTAGCCATGCATCTATTTCTCCTATACAGGCTTCCAGCCCACAGGCTCGCACCCCCCAACAGCATAGTCTCTCTCCCTCATCCCTCATAAGCCACTGCCGCTTTCCTCTTTTCATTTCTCTCCCCTTACCCCCCACCTTTGCACCGCACCTTCGTCTCCTACACGCACGTCTTCCCCACACATTTGCGCCCACGGATAAGTCACCAACGCAGGCGCACTGCTCCCCAAATCGCTATCCGATCCCTCCCCATACCTCTCTCCCAACCCCCCTCTTCCTCACCCCTCCGCACCTGCTTCTCCTCCAACCCACTGGTCCGCCTGGCACTACGGTGGCGTCGCATTGTTGTCACCCCCTTCCTCTCCCCTTCCCTTCCCACCTCCCCCAACTCGTCCCACGTCTTCCCACTAGCTTTCCCGCCTGAACCTCCTATGCCAACGTCTGCCTGCCCCACGGATTTCTGTCCGTACAGTGGCGCCTCACTGCTCACCCACGTGCTGTCCCGTCCTCTCCCCTTCCCACTGCCCCCGACCCTCCTCCACCTTCTCACCAGCTCTGCACTGCACCTGCTTTTCCTGCGACGATTTCTGACCCTCAAGTGCCCAGCCCTGCAACACAGGTGCTCTGTTCACGGTGAACCTGCGGGATGCTGAATGCATTCCTTGCCAGTGCTGCAAGGCACCTTCCTCGCAACACTTGTGGTCCACGGATCTCCCCTCCTGCATCCCTCTCACAAGCCACTGTGCTGTTTACCCTCCCCCATTCCTGGCCTCCTCTCCCCTCCCAGCTCCGCGCCTGCTTCTCCCACACTGAAAACTGTTCCGCCGACTCCCACGCCTATGGCACAGGCGCACTGTTCACTCGGGCAGAGGCTGCTGACGAGGCGGAGGTGCGTGAGAGGTTCTGAGAAGCTGCTGGGTGCCGTGAGACGGTGACTAAGGGCGAGAAGAGTGAGAAGGGAGGCGTTCAGAGTGGGTGAGGAATAGTGGGCTGCGCTAATTGCTGCTTGTGAGCCACTCGTAGATCATGGGTGAGGCTAGCCAAGACGGGGCTGCTGTATGCCCTGTGGCAGTTTTATTCCTTAGGGACGAGCAGAGGGCGAAGGAGGTGCGTGGTGAGAGGGCGTGGGCTGACTATGGGTAAGCAGCAGGTCAGTGGTTGCAAAGCCGCTGGGTGCCGGCAGCTGTCTTTTTTAAGGTCGGGCAGTGGCATAAGGAGGTTTTGAGCTGTTTGGAGTGCGTCACATTGCTGGTGAGCACCCGGTTTGGTAAACGCCTGGTTGAGTAAGATTAAGCGACTGAATGGGAATGATGTGCGGCTGTGTTTTTTCAAGGTGTCAATCAATAATTTGAGCTTGACTCACACGCGTGCCTCCTACAAGTTGTCCCTCCACCACCAATCTCGCTGGGCTCTCCGGCTTCTCTTCCTATGAGCGTGACTAATGCTGCTCTCCCTCCTCTCCCGTCTTCCCCTCATCCCCAATCCTTCCAATCAGGTATACGTAGTGGCGCCGTTCTCACTCAGTCTCGCACTCACAGCCCTCTCGCACAGCCCTTTCTCACCACCCTCTCACACTGTTCACTCCCTCCTCGCCTGCCTCACCACCACCGCCACCCTCTCTGCCGTCAATTAAGCGCCTCACCACTCATGCCGACCCCATGCCCCATGCCCCATGTCCCATGCCCCATGCCCCATGCCCCATGCCCCATGCTCCAGGTTTTTTGTAGGAAGTCGGCCCACCACGCCCTCCCCTTGGCTTCGTCCCTCTACCCTCCTTATCCCATCCGTTTATTTTTACTCCCCTCCCCATACCCTTTTCTTCTTCCCTTTTCCCCGCCTGATCCCTCACCTATTCCTTTACCCTTACCCACTTCCCTCTCCGTACTCCCTTCCAGCCCCATACCCCCTCCACCTCCCACCCACTCAAACTTCCCTGATCCTCTTCACCTTCCCTTCCTTCCCCATACCCTTTCCCTCCCCAACCCCCCACCCACCCACCGCGCCCCCCCTCCTCCCTCCCCCCCCTTCCCCTCCTCTCCCAGCTCAGCACCTGCATATTCCACGCCAACGGCTGCCCCACGGATCCCTGCCCCTACTATGGCACCACACTCCTCACCCCTTCGCTCTCCTTTTTTCGCCTCCTCCAACCCTTCAACCGTCCTCCCTCCAGCTCCTCGCCGCACCTGTTCACCCCCACAGCAGCACAGCAGAGGCTGCTGACGTGGCAAAGGCTGCAGGCGAAGATGGACGGGGCTGCTGGGTGTCACGAGGCCGTATTTTTCCTGAAAACAAACAGAGGGAGGAGGTGCGTGATGAAAAGTATGCGTGCAAGTTATGGGTCACCTGGTCAGCAGCAGGCAAAGCCGGGCGGGTTGCTGGGTGACCCATGGCATGGCAACTATCAGCTATTTTGCATGGACGAGCAGAGGGAGAAGGAAGTGGGTGTTTTGAGGGGTATTTTTGAGTGAGGTTAGTGGGCTGCTTGGTAGGTTCTTGAGAGTCACTAGCGGGCAACGAGTGAGACGAGGGTGGGCTAGAATGGTGGGTGCCCCGTGGCCGTGTCACATTGCTGAAATACACACTGGGAGAGGGCGGTGGGCTGAAAAGGACTGTGCTGGGTGACAGTTGGGTCGCTCTCAGGTCAGTCCCAGGTCAGTCCCAGATAGTCTCAGTGCAGTCTCAAAAAGTCACAGGTCAGTCTCGGGTACACTCTCGGGTGTGTTTGAGGTTTTTCTTAGTTGTGACAAGCTCGAGGTTGCTTATGGGCTGCGTATGGGTCACCAGTAGGTCACCCTCAGGTCACTCTCTGGTCACCCTCAGGTGATTTTGAGGGTTTTTTTTCAGTCGTGACAAGCTGCAGGTTGATATGTGAGAGGCTGGGTGCCCTGTGGCGGTTCATCACAGGGAGGCTGACAGTGCCTCCCTTGAATGAACAGCTTGCGAGGAGTGTTTCCAGCTGAGGGGGGGCATGACTGGAAAACTCTCGGCTGTCAGTTTTGAAGCACGAGCGGTTTCCAGTCATGCCCCCCCTCAGCTGTGCAAGAGGTTTGATTTTGGTGTGAGTAGCTGGAGGTAGGCTGATCCGATTGTAGCTAAATGATACCACAAGGTTGGTAGGCTGAATCTATGATCTGCGGCGGTGTTGTTCAAAGTGCCCGAAACTCCGCACGTGCCGCTTGCTCTTAGGCTGAATGTCCCGCGGCAGTGCTATCCAACGGGGCAAGTTGGGATGAAAAAAGTGGAGAGACACTCTTGAACATCCGTCTTTCACCCCCTTCCCATCACCCACCGCCTTTCCCTCTCTCACCCACCTCACTCGCATTTCCCTCTGGCCCCTCCTCGCCTGTCCCGCCGGGCTCTCCCATAGTGCATCCGGCAGTCATGACTGTGCTGTTCCCACTTGGCTGCAACTTGATCGCCTCTTCTTCATCTTAGCAGCCCCTGCCTGCCCTACCACCAGCACCACCACCGTCATCCATTGCCATCACTAGCAATCCCTGTCTCACCAGATGACTCTCCCATCCTCACATTGACCATCTCTCTATGGCTGGCAGGTGCAAGGTGGCTGCCATTTGGGAAGGCTTCCCACTCTATATCGCCTCAACTCGCATCCATGAATCACATTGGAGGCAGTGCCGCGCCGCTACTACAGAATGAAGATCAAACCCGTGCAGCAAATCCTGGATGACCTCCAATCTGCACGCTACAGCATCTTGAGTCGACAGAAATGCCATTATGTTCCATATGATCTGTTCCATTGGTAGTTGTGGATACGCTGTGGCACTGAAGCATACGATACTGAACGATTGGCCCATCAAGCCCATGTGGGTGTGTGTGTGTGTGTGTGGTCCTGTAATACCTCTCATGCTGGCCATGTGCAGAGGAAATGGCTTTTACCTGCACAAACCAGTGCAAATTTCACACTTTAATCAAGAGCCCCACCCATCCTTTACAGTGCACTTCTACATACACCACTATCCTTTACAGTTGTGCATGGTGTACAACAATCTGCTGTCACTTTAGCACCATTCAGTAACCCCTATCCTAGCTGACTAGGTGCTTCACCTCGCGCCTGGCGTAGTTCGACGTTTTCCACCCTCAGGCGCTCCAACTCGCCAGACATAGTCTGCATGTTGGCTTGCATCGCCCGAAAGTCCTGCATGAAGCGGTCAAACTCAGCCTGTTCCATGTTTCTCAGGCTCTCTGTTACGATATGAAATTACATGAGTAGGCATTCCTGTATGCTGCAGGAGCCGACTCTACCGAGTACGAAGTCGAGGAGTCAGAAGAGTCGAAGCGACGCAGCAACCGTCTGACCAAGACCGATGCAGGCAGAAACATTTGAAGTGAAAAGAGCGGGAACAGGTTTGAAACGGGTTCCCGCGCCGCACGGTTTGAATTCGCTGGAATAAGGGAATATACCCCTTTGAGTACATGGCTAGTCTAGGTCTTTTCGTATTCCCTTGTATTCTTAAATAAACCCAATGTATGCATGCTATTATCAACTCAGTCATTTACATTCACTCTGACCTGAGATTCAAACTTCCGCTGCAACACTACTCTGCGATCAACCCTGAGCGATCCTTCGCTAAGTCCCACTTGGGATTGTAACAGGGATTCTTTGCAACTTCACTTCCGTGAAATTCGCCGAACCAAAATCTGGCGAGCGGCACACGCTCCAAGACCAACATGGCCAAGCAAATCTGACGGCTGAAGGACAAACCAACCCGGCTGCGACAAATGAGGCAACAACTACGATCGGCACTGCCGCACTCGAGCAGTTATTCGCTCGACTTTCAACTATGGAGAAAGAACTCCAAGATTTGCGCAAAGGCGATGCGGGAACCTCTTCCCATCCAGCTCAACCTGGACAACCGGCTACGAAAAGCCGTGATACCGCCGTGCACACCTTCTCCCTCGACACGGACAAATCAACAACAACTGCCCCCCGTCCAAGTGATGAAGTCATTAACTCTGCGCAAGCACGCTTTCTCAGCGTTTCAAATATCAAGACTACTTCCGCATTTGACGGCAAAGATTTTTACACATGGAGTTTCGAGCTTGAGCTCCTCCTACAGACAGCGCAGATCTACCATTACTTCGACGGCTCCTATTCTAAACCGGTGGACGACACCGACGACGCCAGGGCTCAGTACTACAGCGACTCCCTCATGGCGTATAGTGTGCTGCTACGCAACATGACGCCTGCAGAGCAACTAAGCATCCGCTCCTACAAAGAGAGCGCCGCTCCAGCCTTGGAAGCCTGGAAGCACCTCGTTGAGGTTTATCAGCCGAAGGACTCGGTTACCGCCAGCAGGCTCCTGCAGCAACTCATGGAGACAAAGATGGGGCACGGGGAGAAAGCGAATTCTTATATTAACCGCTGTCGCAACATCCGTGACCAGATCACGAAGCATGGGAGCGCAATCTCGGAAGAGATCTTCGTCAACATAGTCCTTCAAGGACTCGGGCCAGAGTGGAAGCCCTGCAAAGCGCTACTCCGACAGCGAGGAATCATCTCAGAAGCCGCGCTATGCGCCGCACTCCTGACTGAACAGCAGGACATGGACTCGAGCAGAACAAGCTCAGCGCCGCGCCGAGAGCCCCTCGCCTTCTACGCTGACAACCGTGAAGAGCGACGACAACCAAGGCGCCACTATTGCAAAATATGCAAAGTCTTCGGACATTCAACAAATCGATGCAAATCCCGATCCAACTATCGCCACCCAAACTCCACTCACCACAACAACTGGGTCGGCCGACAAGATGCTCGTCATCCTCAGTCTCAGCATCAGACATCTCGTCTTCCTGCACAACATCAACATCAGCAAACTCAAGGACCTCAATCAGAAGCTCCTAGAAACATCATCGCAAATATGGCGACGCGCCGACGTCGCACTGCTGACGAAGAGAATGAGACTCAAGGAAGACTCCCTGAACCAGAAGAGGGTTGGAATAATCCCCTCACTGAATATCACTATTACCTGTATGACGAAGACGAGCAGGATGGAATCAGCCAATCACACTGCGGGAAAGCCCGCCACACGGCAACCAACAATACGTACCTGTGGGATGGAAGGAAGACGAAGACCCCCTCTTCCACAGGCGCTACAAGGCAACTCTGGTGACTCCGCGATTGGCGCTACTTCTGCGCAGAACCAACACCGACAATCACAACACCTGGTACCTAGACAGCTGCTGCGGACAGCACATGGTGGGATCCACGCGATACGTCTCGAATCTGAGCCGCGCGCCCGCAACTTATGTCACCGTCGCCAACAACGAGCAGCTGCGCGCCAATGCGCAAGGCATCGTGGTCCTACAAGCGCGAGACAGCAACACACACATCTCGTTCAACGACGTACTCTACGTCCCAAATCTTCGTTTTAATCTCCTCTCGGCAGGGCAACTTCGCGACTGCGGCATCATACTCACCAGGTTCTAGCCACACGCGATCTCATCCTCACCTACGCTCCTCCGGACACCCCTCCCGAGTCATTCAAATACCTCGGACGAGCCCGCTCAATCAACGGAACTTACCTCCTAGACTTCGACGTACCTTCCTGCCAAGCATCATCCGATGAGCTCGTGGACCTCGTCCCTCTCGAGTTCGCCTACATGGGCAAGGAATCATGGGAGGACCCAGACGGACGACCATGGGTTCGCCGCAGCCCCCATCCCCGCGAGATCAATCTGCACGAGCCAGACCTCAATGGTCTCTGCACCACCTGCCACACACCCACAGCGAGCCGCACAGAGCAAGTCGAAAAGGAGTACGCGGCAATCCAGGAAGCAGAAAGTGCCGAGGCAGAACCTACAAGCATGACACAAGAAGAGCTTGCCGTGACAACTCATCGCATTTTCGGCGAACCAAACGATGACTTCGGGCAAGTGCGTGTCGAAAGACCAACACCGTATGCAGACACGCTCTGGTTTATTTTACGAGCTAACACCGGCACCTACGACGAGGAGGGACGCCCACGCCCCTACCCTCGCGACGTCTACCGCACGGAGATCGACCCGGCTTGGAAGGATCCTGCCGCAACAGGGGAGCTGAGCGTCAAGGAAGAGCAAGACAAGGACCGGGCGGAAAAGAAACAGAAACTGTATGAGCAACGCGTCGCGGCTGGCTGGGACGAGGAGTTAGCACGATGAGGCGCATGGGGAGACGAAGATTACGAACCAGAAGAAGGCGCAACCTGGGCATCCGCCACTGGAGCATGGGGAGCCAGCGCCAGCGGCATGGTCACCACGGGAGGATGGGGCAACACCGGCGGATGGGGAGGAGACGAATACGTGGACGCTCCGCTTACCAAAGAAGAAGAAGAAGAGATGGAACGAGAGATGCAAGCTGAGCGCGGAGAACAGTCTCCTCGTATCGCCATTCCACTCGGTCGACCCCCGCGCATCCGTTCACCTCCCTCTTCCCCCTATTGGTGGAGTGATCCTCGGTCGGAGATTGAGGAGGGGAATGTACTGCCAACTCCCCCTCGTGACTCTCTTGGTCCAATCTCCCGCCCAGATCCGTTCGCTCGGTTCATTGAAGGCACCACGACCTCTCTCACCATCATCCCCGACCGCAAATTTCTCGCCCTCTACCTCACAACGGCACCTGCAGAAGGGGACCGCGGGGCCCGCTATCGAAAGGGCCGCGGGGCCCACTAACGATAAGCCGCGAGGCGCGCCCGTAAATCGACGGGCGACGGGCAGGCTAAGCACGCTTCGGGTGACTACCTAGGACGGGGCGCGTCTAGGTGGGCCCATAACTTAGTCGAGAGAATTTCCTAAGGGGGGAAATCTCGCTAGGGTGAACCAAGCTCAATACCATGTTACAATGTAATGATTTGACTAAGCAAATGAGAAACAAGCAAGATATAGCAAGCGTAACCCTAACCCTAGGAAAACATACAGTACACCTAGACTAACACAAATAAGCTATAACAAATATAGCTTGACACCCTCAAGCCGCTTCTGTCTTTTGGTCGCTCTACTTTCGCCTTTGTATGCTCAGCTCTCCTCCCGCCACCTCGAACCCCAGGTACGCCACGCTGTTGTGGCCGGAACGGCACTTCCCCGGGTGAGAAATCAATCCCGCCGCTCGTATGGCCGTCAGCGTTGCCTCCACATCTCTCACATGAGTCTCTGGGTCTGCACTGAAAATCATTACATCGTCGATGTAGCATGCCACTCCCTTCACCTACCTCAGCACCGCATCCATCACCCTCTGGAACACCGCCGATGCATTCCAAAGACCGAACGGCATAAAGTTCCATTTGTACAACCCGTCCGGCCCGTGGAATGCCGTTTTCTTTGTGTCTTCTTCCACTATCGGTATCTGATTGAAGCACCGTCTTAAGTCGAGCGTGGAAAACACCCAACTCCCCTGTAACTGGTCGAAGATCTCTTCTATTATGGCCATTGGGTAGCGGTGTGTGGCGGTGACTTTATTCAGTCCCCTATAGTCCCCACACATCCTCCGTGACAGCACTACACCTGTCAGATCTGTCCTTGCTGCCACCACAGTCGCGACAGCGTAGTCCAACACTGACAGTCCGGCTGCCAAAAGCTCCTGACATTTTTATGTACAGATTGCTATGTCCTGGGGACTCATCCTCCTGCGCCTTTGGTACACCGGGACTTCACTGGTTAGCGGCAGCTGCATGGAGCTTGTTACACACCTCACCAGTTCCTGCAAGCTGTGTGCAAAGGCGGCAGCATGTCGCCTCAGCACAGCCTCCAGCCGAATCGCAGCTTCACCCTCCATGACCGCTCTGATGTTCCATGCGTTCCCCCGGCCAGTTTCTTCTCCCGCTGCTGGTTTCTCTCCCCCTCCCACTAGCATCTGTGCAGTCTTCTCCGTCCTTCCCATCGTCTCTCCCGCTCCCACGGCTTTTGATGCTCCTACCCTTACTCCCTCCGCCTCCTCCGGCGTTCCGCTCTCCGTGCCTCCCAACACCGCCATGTACGCTCGTCCAGGCCCCAAGAACACTTCATATAGGTCCGAAATCCATCTTTCTGTCGGATCCTCCTCTTGCTCTGTGTCTGAATCCATCACTGGCTCCTCCCATTCCTCTTCCTCTTCCTCCTGATCTGGGTATCTCCCTGGAATACCATGCTGGTTGCTCAGCATCTCTCTTCTCAACTCCTGTGGGACCCCCTTGCGTCTCACCTGTCAACGGGAATTGTGTGCTGGCCCCGTCCTCGCTTGGGCGGAGCCGACTTCGTAGTCAGGTGTGCTGGGAGGGGCGACGACCTGGCAGGGGCGCCGACCTGGGAGGGCGCCGACCTGGGAGGGGCACCGACCTGGGAAGGGCGCCGACATGGGAGGGGCGCCGACCTGGGAGGCCGACGACTTGGCGAAGTCGGCGGCCTAGAGTCGCTGCGGTCGACGTGGTTGCCTGGTCGTCCAAGTTACCCGGGCGACGGGTTCTATGGGGGTGCACGATAGTCGCCCAGGAGGTTCTGGCGAAGCCGACCTTGGTGTGGTATCCCGAGGTCGACGTGGCTGATCAGGTGCAGTCGTTGGCACGTGGTCGGCTTGGCGCCTACATTGTGTACGTGACAGGGCACAGCACGTCAACCAACTGTGAGCACCTGCGAAGCGGGTACGCTGCTGTCATGCAGGTGCAACGTTGTACAGCTGCCTTGCTTCAGCGTTGGCACGTCGTCGACCTGCAACGTTGGCAAGCCGCGCTTCTGTAGCGCTGGAGCGGTGTGGGCTTTGCAGCGCTGGGATGCGGTCGACCATGCTGCGCTGGAGGTCGACCAGCTTGCATGCTAGCTCCTGATGTAGTCATTGTTGCCAATGTTGTTGCCATCATTGTTGTTAACTTTTGCTAGTGAAACTCTTGCCAATTCTCCCCGTGAATGCGTGCGTAGAGAAAACACAAACAAACACCAAGGAACGCTACGATGTCCCTCACACCCGGGCCTTTCCCGCAGTCTAGCTCCCTTGGTAGTAGTTATCTCCGCATGGTGCGGTGATCGTGGAGAGAACCGCAACTATACCTTCAGAGTAGCCAACTTAGGCCCGCATTACCTATTTCGCTCGTTGGCCGGCAGCCGTCTTAGTCACCATAGTAGGCCACGAGGCCAAAGCAGGTGTAGCGGATACCCTGCAGGCGAGGGAGGCTGATGCGAGGAGACGCCACGAAGCTGGCGAGTTCGGGCCAACCATCCCCTTTGAGGTGGTCGTTCTGGGCATTCGTGCGCAGTGGGCGACGGAACACCCTTCCTGACCTATTTCTCCCCAACCGGTGCACAACGAAGGCGGCGTTGGCGAGGGCGATGACGGCGGCGACCAAGTTGGCAGCAGTGCGGGAGGCACGTCGAGGCAGAGAGGAGTGATTCACGCCGGTGAAGTCGGCGGCGTTCAGGCACGAGGGCTGCAGTCGTCAGCGGCTGCAGGCACCTCGCAAGGCGACGTCGGAGGACGTCGAAGTAGTGTGACGCCGGCGTCGGCGACCCACGTGACGGCGAGCGGGATAGCGCCGGCGTACGGCTACTTCAAGTTAACACCGGACAAGATCCCCGTCCGGGGCCGGCACGTCCAGGGACGCGGGACGGCGATCTTGTTCGGCGTGAACTTGAAGTAGCCGTACGCCGGCGCTATCCCGCCCGCCGTCACGTGGGTCGCGGGACCGTCGCTCTGCAAGGCGATGCCGGGAAGTGGGTGCTCATCCCCGACGCCCTCTACATTCCAGGCATGCAGGCCAACCCGCTATCCGCCGGCCAGCTGCAGGAGAGCGGCGTGCGACTGCAGGACGACGGCGACAAGATGCTGCTCGTCTCAGCGGCGAGGGACGTGCTCGGTCGGGCGAAGTACACCGGCCTAGTCCTCTGCACCGACCTGCGACCATGCACACTGACATCGTGTTAACGGGAATGGAGTGTTGGCCCCGCCCCCGCTTGGGCGACGCCCACGTCCTGGTCGGGTGCACGGGAGAAGCAGCCAACTGCTTGCAGTGAGGGGCTGCTCGACGGGCTTCGTCGAGCAGCAGGGATCACTGTGGTGTTGCCATCGACCCGGGGTGCTCGACGGCTGCGGCTGACTGGGCTCGTCGACCGTTAGGCTGTCGACCAGGAGGAGCAGTTCGACGGGGAGGTCGACGGAGCAGTCCGTCGACCTGACATCTGAGCAGCGGTCGATGAGGGGAGCTCGGCGACAACAGCTAACAGTTCTGGTCGACCGGAGGGGTCCGTCGACCAGGGGGTAGCTCGACGGGAGCTGTGGTCACTCCTGGTGAGAGCGGAGCAGTCTCACTCCTGGTGAGAGCGGAACAGCTTCACTCCTGATGAGAGCGGAGCAGCTTCACTTCTGATAAGAGCGGAGCAGCTTCACTCCTGGTGAGAGCGGAGCAGCTTCACTCCTGGTGAGAGCAGAGCTGAGCAGCCCCCGGCTGGTGCGTGTGGGTGGGAGGAGTTGTGGGCTCCAGCTGACTCGGCAGCTGCGATCGCCCATGGATGCAGTCCTGTTGATTCACTCTTCAAGTAACAAACGTACTGTTTCTCACTGGATTCCTCACTCTGCTTTGCTCTGCTCTGAACAAGCGACTCACACCTCTGTCGTGCTTTGAGCGACTCACTGTGCCTCTGCCTCTGCCTCTGCCTCTGTCTGCACCTGTGTGTGCCTTGGAATACTGGCAGGCGAGGCCCTGCTGCTAGCACAGGGCACGTCGCTGTATGCAGTGGATGCCATCGCCTCCACCTGCTCTCAGGCACGCCCTCCCACCTGCACCCATGCCTCATGCTCCCATGCCTCATGCTCCCATGCCTCGTGCTCCCATGCCTCATGTCTCTTGGCTGCACGTTTCCATGCTCTCCTGTCGCCCATGCCCCACGCTCATCACCTGTCACACCCATCCCATCCACGTTGCTCAATTGCCGTCTCCCCAACCCCCAATCCATTCAACCAACCCCCCACGTGCTGCAGCTTCTGCCATCCCATCTGCTGCCGCTTGGCCTTCACCCACGCGCACACCCCTCAGCCCTCCCTCTGACCTCTTTCTCGCCCTCGCCGATGCCAGCGTGCAGGTGACTTCACTCCCTCCATCTCACAGCACGCATTGTTGCAGATTGAACTGTCTTGTTCATTCACCTGCTCCCTTCATCCGTGCACCATCCACTAGCCAACACACTCCAATCCCTTGTGCTGCCACCTCCCCGCACCCTTTAGGCCCTCGTGCTGGCGATGCTGCTGCTTCCTCTGTTCTCCTCCACCCTCTCCCCGTCTGCAAGCAGCACGCGCCGCGGGCAGCACTGGAGGCGAACGGAAGCATTCTACGCGGCGCTGCTGCTGCTGCTGCTGGGGCAGCTCGTGCCGCTCTGGCTCGCCCACACCGCCCACGTGCCACCGCCCCCCATGCTCTGGTCTGCCCTTCACCACCTCTTCACCACCTCTTCCTTCCTCTTTCTTCCGCTCACCCTTTGCTCATGTCGCCTTCCGCTGATCCTTACTCCCCAACCCATAGCACGGCTGCACGCTCTTACTGCTGCTTCCTCTCACATCCTCCTCACCGGCGCCGCCACTGCTGCCGTTATCCTGTCTCGCCTTCACCACCCAGCAAGTGGCCAACCATCGCTGCCCACTGCCCACTGCCCACTGCCCTCCTCTTGCTGCTCCTCCCTACCTCCACTGCCCTGCCTACTTCCCCCCTCATCCTCGTCACTGCACGCCTCCATTCACTGTGCTGAATCTTCCCTCCCTCCTCCCCTCCCCACGCCACCACTCACTGCAGGTGGCTGCGGGAGGTGCTCTCCAACGGGCCTCTCTGGCTCTACTGGCTGCTGCTCCTCCTCCTCCTCCTCCTGCTGCTTCTCTCCCGCCTTGCCCCCTCCTCCGCTCGTACTCCCTACACCATCCCCTCACTCCCCCTCTCCGCTGCTGCGCCCGCCCCATCCGCTGCCCCGCGGTGCCCCACGTGGTGCCCCACGTGGTGCTGCGCAAGGCCTTCCACGTACTCGCCCTCGCCATGTTCCTGCCGCCCATGCTGCTGCAGGTGATGCATGCTGCTGCAGGTGATGCATGCTGCTGCAGGTGATGCATGCTGCTGCAGGTGATGCATGCTGCTGCAGGTGATGCATGCTGCTGCAGGTTATGCATGACCCATGCTGTTGAAGGGAGAGAGATTGTTGAGAGTGTTGCTTGCAAGGAGGAGGATGGTGGGACGAGAGGGAGTGTGAAGTGGGAGAAGTCTGAATCTCATCTGCAACGTTGTCAGGCTGTCCAACTTGCTTCAATCTCATTCACACGGCCGGCGTATTTGCTTCAAAGAAATTCCCTGCTCCTCCCCACTCCTCATCCCCTCCACCCACTCCTCTCTCCTTTCTTCCTGCCCCATGCCCTCTCCTTTCGTCCCTCCCCTCTCCTTTGATCCCTCCCCTCTCCCGTTCGACCCTCCCCTCTCCCGTTCAACCCTCCCCTCTCCCGTTCGACCCTCCCCTCCAGCCCGCCTTCCTGCGCATTGCCTTCGGAGCGTGCTTTGCCTTCTTCCTCCTCTTGGAAGCCATGAGAGTAAGTCGCCTTGAAGCCATGAGAGTGAGTCGCCTTGAAGCCATGAGAGTGAGTCGCCTTGAAGCCATGAGAGTGAGTCGCCTTGAAGCCATGAGAGTGAGTCGCCTTGAAGCCATGAGAGTGAGTCGCTTTGAAGCCATGAGAGTGAGTCGCCTTGAAGCCATGAGAGTGAGTCGCCTTGAAGCCATGAGAGTGAGTCGCCTAGAAGCCATGAGAGTGAGTCGCCTTGAAGCCATGAGAGTGAGTCGCCTTGAAGCCATGAGAGTGAATCGCCTAGAAGCCATGAGAGTGAGTCGCATTGAAGCCATGAGAGTGAGTCGCCTTGAAGCCATGAGAGTGAGTCGCCTTGAAGCCATGAGAGTGAGTCGCATTGAAGCCATGAGAGTGAGTCGCCTTGAAGCCATGAGAGTGAGTCGCCTTGAAGCCATGAGAGTGAGTCGCCTTGAAGCCATGGGAGTGAGTCGCCTTGAAGCCATGAGAGTGAGTCGCCTTGAAGCCATGAGAGTGAGTCGCCTTGAAGCCATGAGAGTGAGTCACCTTGAAGCCATGAGAGTGAGTCCCCTTGAAGCCATGAGAGTGAGTCCACTTGAAGCCATGAGAGTGAGTCGCCTTGAAGCCATGAGAGTGAGTCGCCTTGAAGCCATGAGAGTGAGTCGCCTTGAAGCCATGAGAGTGAGTCGCCTTGAAGCCATGAGAGTGAGTCGCCTTGAAGCCATGAGAGTGAGTCGCCTTGAAGCCATGAGAGTGAGTCGCCTTGAAGCCATGAGAGTGAGTCGCCTGGAAGCCATGAGAGTGAGTCGCCTGGAAGCCATGAGAGTGAGTCGCCTTGAAGCCATGAGAGTGAGTCGCCTTGAAGCCATGAGAGTGAGTCGCCTTGAAGCCATGAGAGTGAGTCGCCTTGAAGCCATGAGAGTGTGTCGCCTTGAATCCATGAGAGTGAGTCGCCTTGAAGCCATGAGAGTGAGTCGCCTTGAAGCCATGAGAGTGAGTCGACTTGAAGCCATGAGAGTGAGTCGCCTTGAAGCCATGAGAGTGAGTCGCCTTGAAGCCATGAGAGTGAGTCGCCTTGAAGCCATGAGAGTGAGTCGCCTTGAAGCCATGAGAGTGAGTCGCCTTGAAGCCATGAGAGTGAGTCGCCTTGAAGCCATGAGAGTGAGTCGCCTTGAATCCATGAGAGTGAGTCGCCTTGAAGCCATGAGAGTGAGTCGCCTTGAAGCCATGAGAGTGAGTCCCCTTGAATCAGACAGGCGAAAAAACAGACACATGTGACTAAACCCAGGGCCAAAAGGTTTTGGGCGAACCTTTTTCGGCCCGCCCTGTATATGGGCGATCTGGGCCGCCAAACAGCCCGTCCGGCCCGGTGGAGCCCGAACCAGGTTCGGCCCTACCAGTTCGCAATGGGATCTTCCCGAATTCAGCATCGCAAATTGTGGGGTTTTCAGCATCGCAAATTGTCTAGGATGAGAATTTGTGTAACACCCCCGAGAACTATTAGTCTATTCAACACCACAACAGTACATCCATTCAGTTTTTGTGCTTCGTGGTACTCTCATCTCCCCTGCAACCATCCCCCCTGTCCCCCCATGGCAGTACCAGTGCATTCCTCCACTCTCCGCCCCCCTGGAGGCCTTCCTTCGCCCCTTCACTGACGCCCGCGACGCCGGCCCACTCATTCTCAGGTGATGCCGGCCCGCTCATTCTCAGGTGATGCCGGCCCGCTCATTCTCAGGTGATGCCGGCCCGCTCATTCTCAGGTGATGCCGGCCCGCTCATTCTCAGGTGATGCCGGCCCGCTCATTCTCAGGTGATGCTGGCCCGCTCATTCTCAGGTGATGCCGGCCCACTCATTCTCAGGTGATTGCGGCTTTGGTGTTTTGCATTCGGCTGAGGTCTTCTTCGTATGCCTCCATTCTGCTCTACGATGCCTTCATTCTGCTCTACGATGCCTCCATTCTGCTCTACGATGCCTCCATTCTGCTCTACGATGCCCCCATTCTGCTCTACGATACCTCCATTCTGCTCTACGATGCCTTCATTCCTCTCTACGATGCCCCCATTCTGCTCTACGATGCCTCCATTCTGCTCTACGATGCCCCCATTCTACTCTACGATGCCTCCATTCTGCTCTACGATGCCCCCATTCTGCTCTACGATGCCTCCATTCTGCTCTACGATGCCCCCATTCTGCTCTACGATGCCCCCATTCTGCTCTACGATGCCTCCATTCTGCTCTACGATGCCTCCATTCTGATCTACGATGCCTCCATTCTGCTCTACGATGCCTCCATTCTGCTCTACGATGCCTCCATTCTGCTCTACGATGCCTCCATTCTGCTCTACGATGCCTCCATTCTGCTCTACGATGCCTCCATTCTGCTCTACGATGCCTCCATTCTGCTCTACGATGCCTCCATTCTGCTCTACGATGCCTCCAGTAGGAAACCTAGAAATGTTGTACCCTATATGAACTACCCCACTACAGCCTACACAGACTATAGCATATTTGTTTGACACACCCCCATAGGTAAAGTGGGGGAGAACAAGAGGTCACAAGACCAGTCAAGAAAGGCAAAGCAAGCTCAGGGTGGATCACGACGTCACCACGCATTCTGAGCACAAGCAAATGGCCACAAGGCCAGTTCACATGCAGAGTTATATAAAGGAGAACAAGCAATACAGTGATCACAACCTAGCAAGTGTAAGCATGCAGGTATATATATAGAGATCACAGTACAAGCAGAGTCAAGAAGTAAGCAAGTGAGGCACAGTAGGCACAAGGCCTAGAACAGTACAGAAACGCTGATGATCACAAGGCTGGAGTGCCTTGGTGAAGACATCAGCAGTGTTGGCCTGAGTGACCACGTAAGCAAGACGAAGCTGACCACGCTGCTGCAACTCTCGAGCAAGGAAGTAGCGCAGAGCGATGTGCTTCGTTCTGTGCTCCAGTCTGTGCTCCTGACACAAGGCAATCATGGCCTTGTTGTCGACGTACAGCACTGGAGGAGAACGAGGCACCTCTCCCAGGTCGGTCAGCAGGTAGGTGAGCCAGCGTAGCTCCTGTGCAGCCATGGCCCCGGCGTAGATCTCAGCCTCACAGCTGGAGCTGAGAACAGAAGAAGAGCGGGTGGACCGCCAAGAAACAGAGCCGGAGCCAAGGCTGAAGGTGTAACCCTGTGACGACCGCTGCGTAGCCAAGTCGTCAGCCCAAGAAGCGTCTGCGTGACCAGTGAGGACAACTCGAGCCCGTCCTCCAAGCACGAGCCCCATGCCCGACGTACTGCACAAGTAGCGCAACACCCTCTTAGCAGCATCCATGTGCTCCTTCCTGTGTCGGCCAGGAGCGACATAGCGTGCTAGGATGCTAAGAGGGTAGGCAAGGTCAGCTCGAGTGCAGGTCATCAGGTACATGAGGCAGCCCACAAGCTCTGGATACGGGCCACTCGGCTCTACGGACTCGTCCGAAGGTGGAGCTGAGAGCGAGTGACCGGTAGGCAGAGGAGTGGACTGTGGCGAGGAGTACGTGAAGCGGAAGCGCTGAAGGACCTGCTGCACCATATGTGACTGAGTCAAGGTAATGGTGCGCTGTGCTCTGTCCCGGGTGATCCGCAAGCCAAGATAGCTTGTCAGCTCACCCAGGTCTGTGCACGTGTGTCTCTTCTGCAGCTCCGACTTCACGTGGGCGAGTGCCTCAGTGTCAGCAGTAGCAAAGACCAGGTCGTCTACGTACACGAGAACGTAGAACGGCGGCAGAGTGGTGTCGGTGCGCAGAAACAGCGACGGGTCAGCAGTAGAAGGAGCAAACCCAAGAGCAGCAAGAGTCGTCCTCAGTGTGTCGTGCCACTCACGGGGTGCCTGGCGGAGACCGTAGACTGGCCGCCGGAGGCTCCACTGGGTACCAGCAGGAAACGACCCAGTGAAGCCAGGTGGGCGGCGCAGCCAGATCTCCTCGTGCAGGCTGCCCTGTAGGAAAGCTGTGGAGAAGTCAAGAGAGTGGAGCTCGTAGTCACGCTGAGCGGCGACGTGCAGCAGAATCCGAAGAGTGGTCATCTTTGGGGTAGGGGAGAAGGTCTGGAAGAAGTCAACCCCCTCACGCTGACTGAGGCCTCGTGCAACGTAACGCGCCTTGAAGACAGGCGGAGAACCCGGCGGCCGCTTCACCCTGAAAATCCACATGCCACTGACGATGTTCGCCCCAGGCGGGGGAACCTCGTCGACGTAGGTGCCTGTGGACTTCCAGGAAGCCATCTCTGCGTCCATGGCTGACTGCCACTGAGAGGAGTAGGGACCCTCTATCGCCTCTGCGTAAGAGCGCGGGGTCGGGATGTCTGGTGCATCCGGGTCTCCCTCAGGGGCAATCAGCATGGACACGAGATGAGGTAAAGCAGCGGCAAAGCACTCAAACTCCTCCTGTCTGTCCTCAAGGACGTCCGTGCCAAGAGCACACTCACCCCCGACGGACGGAGGACAGACAGACTCAGACTCAGACTCAGCAACAAGGCTAGCGGCGTAGTCTAGACGACAGGCGGCAGCAAAGTCAACAAGCTCAGCAACAAGAGCAGACGCAGCAGTGGACTCAAAGGAAGGGTCAGTGACAACAGTGGCGAGGAAACGCGTGACAGTAGGACTGGCAGCACGAAGGGAGTCAGACTCCGGGTCCGGACCGTCAGGAAGAGAGGACGCAGGAGGAGACGGCAGAGAGACACGCTGTGGAGCAGTGGAAGGACGCTGAGTCATATAGTGAGTGCCAGGGACAGGAGGAGGACGCTCACGCGGAACACGACGACCAGTGCGGACAGCGCGGACAGGCGACTCAGGACAAGACTCAGGCTCACGACGCTCCGTAAGACCTCTAGTCGGTCCAGCGTAAGGAGAAGGACCAGGCAGCGGAGAGGCTGGCTGTAACTGTGACTGCGACTGGACAAGCGGTGGACTCAGTAGGGGAGGAGTAGGACCAGTAGAGGGCGGGAGGCCAAGAACCGGCTGAAGGAGCGGAACGTAGTACGGCCGCGGCCGCGCAGCACCTCCTGACCCAGCAGAGACAGCACCAGCACCCTCAGCTCCAGGGTCTCCAGCTACAACTCCCGCAGCACCACCAGCAGCTCCAGCACCTCCAGCACCTCCAGCTCCAACTCCCGCAGCAGCTCCAGTCCCAGTAGCTCCAGTACCTCCAGTACGAGCACCTCCAGGACCAGCGGCTCCAGCAGCTCCAGCACCAGCAGCACCTCCAGCAGCTCCAGCACCAGTAGCACCTCCAGCAGCACCTCCAGCAGCAGCAACACCTCCAGCAGTACCACCAGCAGCTCCAGCACCAGCAGCACCTCCAGCAGCTCCAGCACCAGCAGCACCTCCAGCAGCACCACCAGCAGCTCCAGCACCAGCAGCACCTCCAGAAGCACTAGCACCAGCAGCACCTCCAGCAGCTCCAGCACCAGTAGCACCTCCAGCAGCACCACCAGCAGCTCCAGCACCAGCAGCACCTCCAGAAGCACTAGCACCAGCAGCATCTCCAGTAGCTCCAGCACCAGCAGCACCTCCAGCAGTAGGCCCCCCCAGCTCCAGCAGCACGGCTACAGCGCCGAGCGTACCACTCACGAAGCTGCTATGGAGAGAGGGGCTCCCGCCGCGACGGGACACTCGGAGGACCTCCAGTCTCAGCACCCCCAGACTCAGCAACCCCAGGCTCAGCACCCCCAGGCTCAGCACCCCCAGGCTCAGGACCCCCAGACTCAGCAACCCCAGGCACAGCACCCCTAGGCTCAGCACCCCCAGGCTCCGCACCCCTGGCAGTACCAGAGTCAACAGCTACCTCGACCGGCTCGACAGGGTCTACCTGGGACACACCTGAAGGGGCAGAACCCTGAGGGGGGAGGGGGTCTACCGGAGGAGTACCTGGTGCGAGGAAGAGCGGCGGGGGGGGGAAGAGGGGCAGTGCGGTAGGGAAAGAGACGGTAATAGGAGACCGACTCGTTAAACGTGACGTCCTGAGAGGACAGAACACGGCGCGAGGTGGGGTGGTAAAACTGCCACTCAGGGGCGTCAGGGGGAAAGCCAAGGAAAACGCAGGGAACAGCACGAGAGGACAGCTTGTCCGCGGAAGTATCGCGGACAAAAGCTCGAGATCCCCAGACACGGTACACAGACGCATCACCAACCTTCCCCGTCCACCGCAGAGTAGGTGTGGTCTCCGGCAAGGAGACACGAGGCTGAAGGTTGATCTGATGCGCAGCGTACTGAACAGCGAACGGCCACAGAAAATGGGGAGTAGCCGCATGGATCATGGACGTGCGAGCAACGTCCATGACCATGCCAATGCGGCGCTCAGCAATCCCATTGTGCTGTGGGGAGGCCGGAAGCGTGAACGTCTGGCGGATGCCCTCCGCACGACAGAAAGCCCTCATAAGGTCGGAGGAAAACTCACCAC